AGGGTATTAGCACGCAATAGATTCGACTGGAATTCGAACTCGGCTCTCCGATTCCTCAATCCGAGCCGCTACCCATTACTTCACCGTGTCTCCTCTGATTTGTGATTGAATAATTATAATTTCCTCATTCCGGAAAATAAAATTTCTGTCATCAGAAGAAAACACTACCGATAAATAAACAATTTCCTCTTTATGTAGTGGACTCTTCTGATGACGTAGAAAAATATATGGATGCATATTGTGTTGATTGTGAAAACAACTTTAAAATATTAAAAACACAAAAATCTAGATTAGATTTGCTGACACCATCACACGGGTTATTTTTTAAAAAATATTAAATTTTATTTTATGAGAGTCAAAAACTTTATTAAAAGCTACAAACAAATTTATTAATGGCAGGAAACGACAACTTATTTTTATTTGCATCATGAAATCTAGCTTTTACGACGACAGAGCTTAAAAGCACCCAGCACACCAGGGCTATATCGGCCTTTTAGTAAAAGCGAATGTACTCAGAAACTGAGTAGGAGTTGTTTTTGAACTTAACAGCGAAGTGAGGTAGTGTAATCATTTATTAAGAAACCTCAAATGGTCCGCTGTTTAGAATAGAACCTCTGAGGGCGGTTGTTTTCAGTCCTGCATAATACCATTTAGCCTTTTTGAGTGTGTATGTGTGTGTGAAAATTTCTCCCTTCCTTTTTCACTGCTGCTGCTACTATACTGATATGGGGACGGCTATGACGTATTAGTTGTCACGGGTGATTTGCATATAACCTCCCACTGTTACCTTTATTTCCATTTGAGTCTCGTATTTCCTCCTCTCTCTATCTCTTATACTTTCTCTCAATCGGCTTTCACCTCAACCACTCAACTACTCTTTCTGAAATCTCCTTTACGTGTATAATTAATCCCTATTATACAGTACTTTCTATCTCGCTCTCGCTATAATTCAGTTACATTACCACTTTTAACAAAAATCCCCCCACCACCACCACGTCTACTTAGTTAAGAAGAAACTCGGTGTATTTCAATCCGTCTATCTTATATTTGCGTGCGTACGTGTGTGGGTTGTATCTTAAGGAATTGTGTATATACGTCTGTCTGCGTTTACAATGAATGCGTAAAAAGAGAGAACGCGCATTTGTTCGATCCTGCGCATGCGTAGATATGGATATCATGTCACGTTGTTCTTATGTAGAAAGCGTTTGTTTTAAAAGAGAATTGTGTTAGATAGATAGATAGATAGATAGATAGATATGAACAAGTAGTCACATAGATAGATAGATAGATAGATAGATAGATAGATAGATAGATAGATAGATAGATAGAACGGGAGTTGAAAAGAATAGATACATATAATGTAGCATATCTATAGTCACTCATACATATGCGTACGCATGTACACATATATTTATCGAAGTATATGGACGTGGAAATATTTTAAATTAAACTGATAATCTGCCCACAATCGTAGAAATACAAACAGCTCTTCACACACAACCACATGACTTCTGCGCAATCGTCACTTTCGACACACATACACCCACATACATCTGATACAATTATCTATACCTACCTATAGACATACATTTGCGCACACAGATGCATACACACCCACCTATAGTAATGTAATCATTGTGTAATTGCTAATTTATGTCTATAACTTTATTCATATAAAATAAATTTAACGTCTGACCGTGTGAAATGGACACCTTTAATTAATTAGCCTAATTATCGCTTTATGCACACCTTCTAAGGCCCACCTTTCACCTGGGCGTGTGTGTCGTACTCCACGTGTAAAATTTCTACGTAATAAAAACAAAGAAAATCATTTGAAAAATAATTGTATTTATAAATGACAGGAAGTTTGTTAAGGGTACTTGTGATTTAAACCACCTACTTGATTATGCTTGCTCACAAGGTCAGGGGTGGATGTTGGTAGCGTATCAGTAGAGGATGTACCTTCCCGCCAATAAGCCATAATATCTTTTTTGCCTTGTAGTAAATAGTCGTCTGACATAATGGCGTCTGACATGAAAGTGCATACAAAGCAGAGGTCTGCTATTAAATTGCGCTATGTAGAAAAAAAAGATTCACAATTCGGCAATTGTTTATGGCAACCAAATTATAGATGTAAGTACGGGTACTGTAAAGGGTGTAACAAAACACGTTTCATTGGTTTGTTTTTTTTTTTGTTTTTTTTTATAGTTATCAACTAATGAAAGGAAGAGAGCCTCAAATAGTGATTATGTGTAAAATCGTGTTTTTTAGAAAAAAACTTGCTGCATCGCACGGTTTAATTTTGCTCCAATCCTATGAAAATATATAGGAAAGAATACTTTAGGTAAATAATCCGAAGTTCTTCAGTATTATCGTTTTTATTTTTGAAAAAACAGTGCTCAATACAATAGTAGAGCCTAAATTATGCGAAGGAATCATAAAAATATTTATATATATAAATAAATAAATAAATATATATATATTTATATATATATATATA